CTATAATAAATGATCATTGAGATCTGTACATTTATTTTAATATTTAAGTGCATTATAAAATAGCCAAAGTATTTATAAAACTATTAATAGTTTGTGAATAAAAAAGACACTTGTTATTGATGAAAGACAATATTATATTTCAATATCAGATAAAAAATATTATTATTATCAAATGATAATCTTTAGCATTTGTCAATCCAAAAGAGGAAATAATGTTATACAATTAGAATGTCTAAATAGCAAGACTGTGTACTATATTCCAGAATTTGAATCGCACATATTAAAAATCTATCCATATAAGTATGAAACAAAACCTTAAGCAATAATAACTTTCTTGAAATTCTATAATAAAAAGCTTATTAAATATAAATGATTGGTGCCTAAAGAATAAAGAAAATATATTGGTAGTACAACCCATTGATAATACCACCTACCCTTTGTAGATCAACTCACAATTGGCAGACTTATACTCGGTAATGGCCTTGCTCCACAAATTCAGATTTAAATATTAGCTGGAGGAAAACAGCCGAGATTAAGCCGAGAGCGCAAGCTAGAGGCCGGTATTTTTTGCATCCAATTAACCAGTAAAGGGATAAAGGGGTCAATCTAGCCAGTAGTGTATTGGCATGAAAACATACCGTGATGACTCCATCCTTCATGATGGACTTGCGGCTGCGGATGATCATGCCCACGACCTTCTTGGACACCTTGGCTGGCATGCTCACGCACTGGGCGCAGAGACTCTTGCGCTTCTTGAGTTTCATTCAAGGCTTTCGGCGGCAGCGCTCGCGCGCAAACATACACACGCGCTCACTTCTCACCCTGGGCTCACTCCTCGCTGCTGCTCGGCGCCATCATAGCTGCGTACCACCTGGTTCGTTTAAGCGCATTGTTGAGTGACAACGGGCGTCAAGGTTGATTGAGATCAGAAGGGGGAAAGGGGAACGACCCCCGGATACCCAACACCGACTCTCGGCTTATCTCGCTCCGAATACATACACCGCGTACACGCGGCTGCCTTCCGAGCTCCTCCTCTTATCACCACCGCCGCAACCTTCGTTGACACCCTGGTACGCCTCGCGCGATGGTCTTCCGTCTATAACGAGCAAATCTAACCTTAATTTACACAAAGAACATTGAATAGTCTCGCGCGCGCGTACTGCTACAGCAGCTGCCCAACAACTTAGCTCCGCCAACTTTCAACTTGTCGAGACTACGAGGACTGCGCGCAGCGCCAAATGCTGGCTACTTCTTCTCTCACTCTCCCTATTCAACCTTTTCTTTTCATTTTACATTGTGAGATGCTTACACAGCATAGGTGAATTCGCGAACGTCCCTTACATTGCAATGCCCATCTGGTAGTTCAAAGATCCAGCCGCTCTTCGTTTTCCGTTATTGTTC